CCAACACAGAATGCAAAACGGGTCTGATTCTGTGATTTTGTCAGCTGAGGCAAAATTCACTAAACTTATTAAATTTCCCGCTGATCTTATCCTGGTAAAATCAGTGATAAGATCAGCACTGACCCCAAAGACTGCACTATAGTCTCCAACTTTGAGACCTTTTGGAGCATCAGCATTTCCCCTAAGCAACACCATTTCTGAGTATCAGAATGCCTGACTTCACCACTCTCCATGTCCCATCTCAATGTTTACATCTCGCTCCGCTGTTTCACAGGCTGCAGACTGCAGGGGCTAAAAACGCTGCTCAGAGCCCAGGCTCCGAGCTTTCGAACGCTAACGACTACTTTGATTAAAGTGCAAAACCCTTCTGACACCAGCGGGAACTCCCTAGTTGGGTCGCAGTTAGCCCTCGGCCAGAGAGGCAGCATCGTGAAGAACCCAATGACGCACTCAGTACACAATAAAGTACAGCTTTCTGATAAAATTACTGCTTCCCCAGCTACTGTCTCTCGCATACTCTAGTCTTTGTCACACACACACACTTTATCTACCACAGTCCCTGCCACAGCCAGAGGACAGCCCTGCAGCCAGGACAGCACTGGGCAACCGCCTCCCACCTCTGCAAGCAGGTTGAGGGCTCCGGCTAACACGAGCAGCGTTTAGCTCATGGCTTCAGCCGGGTCTCGGTCAGTAAACTGAGCTATCGTACGGAAAATAATAGAGAGAAGGGGTCGCTGATCCCGCCACTTCCCCGATGGGGAGGGCAGGTCGGGGAGCAGGACGAGGCTCGGGGCAGCACTCCGGCTTCTTTCAGTGCTCGGAGTCGCCCGACTGGACGCTCCCGCCCGGCCCGAGGGAAGGGTGCTCCAAGGAACGCCAGTTGTAAAGGGACCCGAAACTTCGCGGAACGCTCAAGCCGAAGCTCTCGGAGCTCTCGGAGCAGTCTGTCTCCCTCCGCGAGCACCCGCCGCATCCCCGGCGGGGATCCCTACCTTGCCGCCGGGGGATGCTCCTCCGCGGCGCGGCTGTGCAGCCGATGCACGAAGCCAGCAGCAGCAGCAGCGAGGCAAGGCGACAGCGGCCCGGCACCTCCATGTGCTCCACGTTCCCCCGCCGCCCAGGCCGGGGGCCGAGGCCGGCGTCCCCTCTGCGCGGCAGCCGGACGGGGAGCAGGGCCAGGAGGGCGCGGCGCGCAGCGGAGCGGCTTTTACCCTCTCGGGGAGCAGGGTCGGGAAGGGAAGCGGGGGAGGAGGAGGCCGGGGCCGGCCCTTTGATAGGATTACAGCCGCCCCCGGGGTGGGCGGCGGCGCGGGGCTCGGCTCGCACCTCCCCGCGGGACGACGTCGGTCCGTGGCCCCGAGAGCTCCGAGCTCCCGAGCCCCGCGACGCCGCGGTGCCGTCCCTCGCCCGGCGCCCCGCGGGGCCACGCGGAACCCCGCCCCTGAGCCTGGGATGTCCTCGGCCCTCTGCTCTCCTCCGAGACCCCGGTTTGGCTGCTCGTCGCTCCGGAGGTCCGTTGACGCTTGGGGTTTCTGCCCGGATTCCCTGCGAGGGATAGGGTTGGAGGGGTAGCCCTCCAAGGAGGAGTACTGGAGCAAGATAAGCAGAGGATTCGATGAGGAAGTTGTTGTTGAGGTAAGAAGATAAATTAAGTTTAATCACCCCAGATGGAGGCTGAGACCTATCCCAGCCACTCAGACTAATATAGACACTCGATGGAGATTAGAGGGATGAAGTGAGGAAGGCAAGGGGAAGTCATGGAGTTTGAAGATCCAGGGGGAAAAGACAGGAGAAACTGAGCAGGAAACAGTCAGACACCCTTTTTGGAGCAATACTGTTCATGGGACAAAAACCCAAATCCATTTATTCCAGTAAATCTTTTTTGGACAATTGACAAATAGAGGAAGTTGCAAGAAACTTTGCCTTAGGCAGATGTAGGATTACCTGCCCTCTGCTTTAGGTCTCATCCTAATCCTCGTTAGTTTAAACCCTGAAACATCAGAGTTGTTCTTGAGGGTTTGTGTAGGCTTTGTTTTTGGAATGAACTTGAGTTATTTGTTTTGCTCTTCACTTTGATAACTTTGACTGGTTTGGGTGTCCATATAAATTATGCATATTCATTCAGTCTCTTGCTGAACATTATTCAATTTCTAACACTAATACTTTGTTTAGTGAGTTCCAGTCTCTAATTTTATGACATAGGGTGGGAGGAGGGAGAGGGAAAATGTAAGAGATTGGAAGAAAAGTTCTGCAGGAATAATGCTGAGACAGGAGAAGAAGGAAAGCTGTAACCTTTCAAGATATGAGGACAGACAAGGAAACAGTGATGAAGCCCTTTTGGACAGAACATCAGAGGAAGGGAGTTGGTGCACACGTCCTTTAAAAACTCAATGAGAGCTTCAAGAAGTTGTTTGAGGGGGGAAATCAAAGTTGTCACTAGAGGTGGTGGAGAGGACATCTCCTGCCTACTCCAGGGATGAGGTAAGGAGACAGAAGCCTGGTCCCCATGGAGAGCACAGTATGTGAATTTTGGAAAGATCCCCATAGGGAGAGCATGTCCAAGGCTGTAAGAGACTGAAGATGAAGAATAGCTCTGCTTGCATATTTGAGATGCTACATGCTCTTATCATCCAGCCTTCCTATGCAGAGCTGGAGGAATCACAGCATGTATAAAAGTGCAGGACCCAGTGGCAGAAATTCCCTTTTGGTTTGAGCTTCACATGACAGAAAATGAACTCTGTCTTTCTCTATTTCTGTGAACCTTACCTAAGACACATCAAGTCTTAGGACAACAAAATTTTTAGCAGTGATCTACACAGTTATCCATTCATAACATAAATAAAAATAAATAAAGAAAAACCCTACAATTATTTTCAACATCTGATTTAACAGTAAATCCCTGAGAAAGCAATTTTATGCTAAGAAAAGATAAAACAGGATGTCAACCCAAAGGCTCTTTAGTTCAAGTATGGAATTCTTTCTCTGTGGGCAGTTAAGTGAGGTTAGCAGGCTTTTCCATTGTGATTCATGGGGAAAAAAACGTGTCTTTGTTCTAGGCCTTGTCTTCATTTGAAAGATATTTGCAATAAAAGGAGTGTATGAATTTATAGCATTTTCCAGGGAAGTTCCATATGTGGAAATATGTGGTCCAAAATAAGATTAAAAGAAAATCATTGAAGTCTTCTGGACTAAAAATAAAGAAAAGGGGTGAAGGTATAGAAGATTTTACTCCTTTTTAGATGTTTCCATGATGATACTGTAACTCAGTTAAGGAACTTAATAATGTATGTGCATATTTTCATAATAGTGAAACATGGATTTTTCTCTCTTCAAATGAAGTCTCAAAAATTTTGTTATTTTTTTTTCTTCATAATCTGCAGTTTTTGAAAAGCCAAATTCTGAAAATGCAACATTGTGTCTAATCAACCATAATATATTGTTGATTTTCGTTAAGTGTTTTTCATGGATTTCACAGAATCGTAGAATCACAGACTGGTTTAGGTTAACTTAAAGATCGCCTGGTTCCAACCCATCTGATCAGGAGGGTTTGCCACCCACCATATCAGGCTGCCCAGGATGCCATTCTACACGGCCTTAAAGGTCTCCAGAGGTGGGGCATCCACAATTTCTTTGGGCAATATGTTCTAGTGCATCTTCATCCTCTGAGGAGTAAGTTTCTTCCTAACATCCACCCTAAATTTCCCTTCTTTTAGTTTAAAGCCATTCCCCCTTATCACTATCAGATCATACAAAAAGTCTTATAAGCTCTCCTCAAGAATTGGAAGGCCACAATAAGTCTCTGCAGAGCCTTCTCTTCTCCATTGTAAACAAGCCCAGCTCCCTCCACCTTTCTTCACAGCACAGAAGAGGTGCTCCAGCATTTTGGTCATCTTTGTGGCCTGCTCTAGACCCGCTCCAACCACTCCATGTCTTTCCTGTGCTGAGGGCTCCAGACCTGGATGCAGGGCCCAGATGGGACCTAACAAGGGCAGAGCAAAGGGGGATGATCACCTCCTTCTCCCTACTGCCACCCCTGCTGATGCAGTCCAAGATGCAGTTGGCTTTCTGAGCTGCAAGTGCACACTGTTGGCTCATACTAAGTTTTTCATCTACCAAGCCCCAAGCCCTTTTCTGCAGGGCTGCTCTCAGTGAGTTCTCCCAGTTTGTACACATATCTGAGATTGCCTCAACCCAAGTGCAACACCTTATACTCGGTCTTTTTGAACCTCACATGTGGGCCTGCTTTTCAACTCTGTCAAGCTCCCTCTGTATAGCATCTCTTCCTTCTTTTATGTCAACTACACCACTCAGCTCAGCATTGTCCACAAACTTTGTACGGGTACACTCAATTCCAATATCTGTGTCATTGACAAAGTTGTTGAAGAGCATCAGTCTGAAGCTGCAACCCTGAGGGACACTACTCATCACTGGCCTGCACCTGAACGTAGAGTCACTGACTACAACCCCACAGCTGTGATCATCAAACCGATTCTTTATTCACCTAATAGTCCAGACTTGAAATCTTTACCTCTCCAAGTTAAAGGCATTGCAGAAGCCTGCGGAGATGACATCAGTTGCCCTTCCTTCAGGACCTTGGAATGCATGTAGTTCAGCCCCATGGACTTGCACACATTCTGTCTCATAAGTTAGTCTCTGATTTGCTCTGTTCTTATAATTGAGATGGATAGGCCTCTCTTAACTCCAGCCTAGAAGTTCAGAGATGTGAGAGGCATGGAACACCTGACTGCTGATGAAGTCTGAGGCAAAGAACTTGTAGAGTGCCTCAGCCATCTCCATGTCTGTTGAAGCCAGTTCTCCCTTTTCATTTATCAAAGGAAGTATTCTCTCCTTTGCCTGTCTGATCAGTGTAGTACCTTCTTTTTATTTCGGAGCCTTCACCAAGTTTGGTTCCACCTGCACTTTGTCTTTACTGATCACATTTCTGAATATCCAGACTGCATCCCTGTATTATTCCTAGGCTGCTTGTTCCTGCTTCCACCTCGTGAACTGTTGTACAATTGTATAATTTCATCATCCCCTTCTTTTGATCAGCAGAACCTTACTCAGCCATAATAGTTTCTTGCCTCCTCTGCTTGATTTCTTATGGTTTGGATGGAGAGCTCTAATGCTCTCAGAAAAGTATTCTTAAAGAGCTGCCAGCTCTGTTCTGCTCCTGTGTCCCTAAGGATCATTTCTGAGTGGATCTCATCCATAAATTTCCTAAACAACCTGAAGTTTGCTCGCTGAAGTTAAGGATCCTGCCTCTGCTCTTTGCTGGGCCCGTATTCCTCGAGATCATGAACTCAGCTAGGGCATGGTCACTCAGCCCAAACTGCCTCTGATCTTTACCTTTTTCATGATCTCCTCCATATTGGTGAGCATTAGGTCCAGTAATGCTTCACTCTGATTGGTCTGTCCAGTACCTAGAACAGAAAGGGCATAAAAGAAGTGCATAAAGCTCTCAGAGACTGCAGAAAACATTCAGCATGTACACATTTTCTCTTGGACTTTAAATATGATAGGAAATGTCAAAGGATAACCTAAAATAAGGTACTCTGGGTGTCATTGTTGCAGTTTCTTCTTATATGTAACCTAGTCAATTATCTCATAGTTCTTTCTGCAGCTTATCTTTCCCTCTCACTCTCTCTCTCTATCTATATATTTACTTTTACTCCATCCTGATTAGATTTGAAGAAAGTTGTGTTGGAACCTCTCCAGTAAAACTCTGAGGGTACCAAAATCCAACCAGAACTTATTAATGGCATTTGCATAGAAATTTCAATGCAAATTTTACCTCTTTGAGCCTTTAAGGTGTGCTAAGGCAATTTACATATTTCACCATCATGATAATAACTCTAACACGAAATATTAAATATGTGTTATATCATCATATGCATGTGCTGACATATAATATTATATAGACCTGGGGATTTATTTGTTGAATATAGCAACTTGATAAATGCATGGAAATAGAAGAACCATTAGCTTACCAGCTTTCAGATACAAGTTTAAAAAATGTAAACATCACTTAAAACAAGCAAACTTTATTTTGACAACTCACATTTAGTTTCATAGCAAAAACAAACAAATCACAG